TGCATGGTCAGGTTTTTAGGAGACTGTCTCTAAGGCTGATGCCAGGATTCATAACAATATTATGGATTTATGCTAATGTATTAAAGATTGATTTTCTTTCATAAAGTTTTTAAACATTATTCTAAGTTTTGTATATCATTTGGGCCATCGTTTGCAAAAGTCTAAAGTGTTTATATATATATATATATATATATATATATATATATATATGTGTGTGTGTTTTGAACAATAAAAATTGTTAAAAATTAAAATTTTAGACACACTAGGCTGTATATTAATATTTTTGTTTTATACAGACTGGGTTGTATATTAATATTTTTGTTTTATTTTTTCATTGGGTTCCTCAACTAGTTTCAACCAGCATGGCCATCATCAGGAGAAAAAAATTGTGCTTGTTAGTAGCAGTGAATTACAGTGTTGAATGACAGTCTCTGAGGAAGTTGAACTTGGCCTGTGGTTTTCATTTGTTTTTTATAGTTAATTTTTGGTCAGTTATAGGATTGGTCTTTGTTAAGTTGTTTTTTAAGGATAGGTCATGAATGACCCATGAATCTCTTTAGTCATTTTGACAGCTCTATTGGTTGCTATCTTTTGTTTTGGAGTGTTGTGTAATGTATGTATGTGTATATATTTGTGTGTGAATGTGTGTATGGGGAATCTCATAACCTCTGTAAGCATGTCTGTCTAGTGGGGGTGGTTAGGGGAGTCAGCTTGAGCTCCTTCATGAGTAGTGTCATCTTCTATGTAGTAGCAGTAGAGTATATGCAATTATAATGTGAGAGAGAAAAATATGGGGGGAGATGTTTGGGGGTTATATGTTAATTTTATCTGAGGCTGTGGTTGATGCCAATGGCGATTTTATTGAATAAATTTACTCTTTACTATTTCAAGACATTTTTGTGTAATTTTGGTAAATATCTGTTAAAATGATATGTCAGTGTTATTTTCATTTTTGCATAATTTAGATGACAATTTCTCCATCACACCCTCTACATATAAAATATATTTTTGAATTTTTTTTTAGTCTAATCAGAAATTTCTCATTTGAAAGACCTTTGGAAAATTACAGATGATGAAAAATTAGGCTGAGATATCACAAGCACTTTGGAGAATAACAGTAAAACAAAGAAACTTCCATATTGTAGTAATTTCATAAGTAGACAGAAAGCCATTCATGGGATTTTGGAAATACAAGGTTTCAAATCTGAGTACATCTGCCATAAGAAGTGCCATTAACTTTTCAAGGAATATGATGGTAGTTATGGCAAGATTCCAACTTCAATGCTAGTCAAGGCTCTACAAATCACATATCTGTTAGAATCCTTAGAAAAGAGTCTCAATTTCCTCACTTTACTTGGCCATTAAGTCTTGCATTTTGAAGAAGCACTAGCATTACTCGGCTGTAATCTGTTTATGAACACGTTGTTGTTGTTGTTGCTGTTTATCACACACACAATTTCATTGCCATTCACACAAGGGTCTGGATTTTTAAAAGATAATAACAGAACAAAGCGTTTTCATCAGCTAACACAAAGATATTGGAGACAAGTATTAATTGAAGAATAAAACCAATATATTAAATCCAATATTTTTAAAACAAACTTAAGATATTAAAAAAAATATACATTTTAAAATATTCAATAAAAAAAATATTTTGAAGGACAATTTATTTCAACCAAAGGAATTTTAGAACAGAATGATAAAAAGGGTCTAAAACAGAAAATAACTGACTGTCATTTTTTGTTCATCTAAAAAAATATTTTCCCAAAAAAAATAAAAAATCTTTTGAACTTGCATATGAGGGCATCTATGTATTTCCTTTTGTACATCTCAAGTATGGCACTTGTATTAACAGATTTTGTATGTTTAAGCTAGTGGAATTAAGTTTTTGGTCTCTGCATTTGAAGAAAACTATTATTAGGGGAGATTAGACACTTGCACTAGTTTTTCATGGAATATTTCTATTCATTTCCATGTTCTGTGTCATTCTTGTCTAGATTTTGTTAGACAAGAGGTTTTAATCATTCTGTATAGTTGGTTGAAATAATCATTTTCTTGTCTTTGTTGCTCTTTTGGACCAAGATTCAAGACAAGAACTACTTTTTAATTGTTATGTTTATGCCAACAGATAGCTGAAGGTTAGAGCATTGGACTCAAGATGATGAAATTTTAAGTTTTACATGGTATAGCAGACATAATATATACAAGTTATTGCAGGAATATGAAAGAATATTCCAGGGCTGTTAATAAAAAGTTGTCTTTGATGGATGTGGCTGCAGGGAATTTTGTGAGTTTTGCAACATGCTTCATACATGTACAATGGTCTGTAAAGTCAACCAAGAATTCTTGGAACCAGTTTCATGTCACCTACATGTAATGGAGGGAGACAGGTGTATTATGTTGGAACAAATTATCACCATTGGCAAGCATGGCAATTATAAACAGGTGAAAGTGATTTGCAACAAGATCTGTAGATATTACACCTGTCAAGACAGATTTCATTGATGGTCATTGTGTACTCCAATAGAATATATGTGACACCATGACAGGGTCATTACCAGTTTGACACAGTCTTCTTCATACAGTCTCTTTCATGCAATGAACTCAAAAAAAAAAAAGCTGGAAACATGGCACCACTTTTCTTTGCCCCAACGGGAACATTCTCTGACCCATGTAGTCTGCAGTAACTGATACAGTGATTGTCAATAATCACAACCTAATTGGATGATGACTATGAAATCTCCATGGAATCTGCTGTATAATACATTGACTAATTGGTTTATTGGTAACAGTGTTGAACTGTGATGTAATTTGCTACAATTTTCCTCTTTTGGATAGTTACTGTTTTGTTAGTCACTGGTGGTCCCTATTCTTGTATTACTTGTAAGCAGTAATTCTCAACTGTCATCTGGTACAGTCCTCATAAGTGTGCCCCAAAATATTGTCACAGTATACACACACACACACATATATATATATATATGTATGTGTGTGTGTGTGTGTGTGTGTGTGTGTGTGTGTGTGTGTGGAAGTAGTAATAGTACAGTGTTAGTATTTGAATAAATGATAAGTATTAAACATTTTTTTTCAAATAATTCTTTTCAATATTCTTCCATTATGTTATTTTAAATACTTGGTTTTAATATTCATTTTTTTAAAAGTATTTTTCTTAATTGAACTTTTTAAAATTTCCTTACATTTAAATGTATACTCTTTAAAAATGTTTCTAAGTATGACATGATATTTTCATTTGCTGCTAGGTGTGCCATTGCTAAAAAGATTGAGAAACTCTGCCGCTAAGCAACAACAGTTACCAATCCAGAGATTGAGTGTTTCATGTTACAGACCCCAATGATTATTCCATGGTCAAATGGTATTAAATCCAGCCTATATTTACATTATTTCATCACCTATGATATCACACATACATATGATATATATATATATATATATATATATATATGATATCATGCATACACATCATCCTGCTGTCAATAACCTTTGAGTACTTAAATTTAAATAGAAAAAATTATAAGATGGAGTAATGGATAGCAGATTGGATTGAGGAATTGGAGAGCCAAGTTTGACTTCCAGTCGCATCCATTACATTCACTTACATGCTAATATCCTTGGGAAAGGTATGAATCATCTTCTTCTCCCCCCAGCTATGGGTAACTAGCAGGATAGACTGGGTTCTATAGCCTTGGATGGCAACTGGTCTACCGCAGAAAGAAATGGCAACCTACTGCAGGAAAAAATCTGCCTCATCAGTCATGTATCAAAAGATACATGATCACCTACATGTGTATCACACATGGCATTTAAAAAAAATAACTTAAATGCTATAATTAATAGGAGTTTGTCAAAATGGATGGCAGAGGGGGGATAAAGAGTCAAACACTGCTTAAAATTACAAAGGACAGGACGTTGTGGAGAGATATGATCACCTACATCCTGAAGGAACAAGATACACAAAAGAAGAACTTGAAATTCATCTTTTAAGAAGAGAGAGGCTTGTACCATTTATAAGTTTTATTTACAATCATTTTGATATTGTCAGAGCCTCAGATAATGTGATAATAAAATGGCCTTCATGTCTATTGTTATTGGGTGATTTAATATAAGGCAATGATAAGTAAATTAACAGAGTATTACTACTATAGTGAATTTGATCCTTACAGAGTGCTTGACACTCATGGCTGTGTCAAATTAAATCAAGCTTAGTAAATAAAGTCAAACTTCAATTTTATATAAATATGGATATAGCACAAAAGGTCAAAGTTAATTTTGTATTTTCTTTTTTTTTTTCTCATATTACTTTGATTAAGCTCTGATTTAGTATGACTCCATCTTTCTACAATGATCTTTTATGAATGACAACAATCAAATGGTATCATGCTGTAACTTAAACAGCTATTTGAGGATTGTATTCTGTTGTCTATTTCAGAAAATATCTTGTGTATATAATTTGAACAATCACTTCCCTGCTAAAAGCGATCAGTTATTTTAGTGAGATTCTGTTCTTTATTTGATTTGGAAATAATAAGTAGTTCATACAATATTTTTGCTCTAAATAGAGTAACGATATTTATCAGAGTTATGTGCCCTTTGTCATGAAAAGTAAAATAGAAAGAATCAAAGAAAAATTAAAATGCAGAGAAATTAAACTTTCAATGTTAATCAATATTTTCTTTCAACTTGTGAAAGAAAATGTTGATTAACTGATTCAGTTTCTATGGCTTATCAACCCTTTGCAGGTTATTTAAAGCCAGAAAATATTTTTTTATTAGATTGTAAAAAATTATTTTTTTGAGATAATGATGGTTTAGGGGTAAAATTCTTACTAATTAACCCATTGTTGGGAGGAAAAGAGGTGGCTCCATAACTTTCCCAAGGATATTTGCATGTAAGTGAACATAATGAATTTGACTGGAATTGGAACTTGGCTCTTCAATTAACAATCCCAAGACATTATTCATTACACCACCTGCACATCCAAGCTTACAGCACCTGGTATTCCCAAGCAGTCACCCATCTAGATACTGACCAGGGTCAACAATGCTTAACGTTGGTGATTGTATAGGAACCAGTGTTTCAACATGATGTGGCTGTAAGCCTTTGAAACAATATGTATTAAATCAAATCTATTTGATTTGATTTAATACATATTTGAAATGCACGTCGTCCCATTTATTTTTCTAATTTCATTTACTCTATGCATTCAATAATTTTCCATATTTCTTAATTAAATTCACTATTAATTAATCCAGTAGTGTCTGAATCCTTGTATGAACATATAGTTGAGCAGAGTCTTTTATTGGTTTAGGAATTTAGGGTATGTGTCTAAGAAATGTCTGGTGCTTTGAAAAGGGTGCAATGAGAGAAAAGGTGAAAGAATCATTGCATTACTCACTTCTGCTTATTAATGAATTTGTAAACGTACCCAAATGCTTAACAAAAATTGATTTGTTGTACTTCTCACTTGCTGAAAGTTCACAGTTAAATTCATAAGAATATATTCTCACCTTTTTCTTATTTATTTCCATTTCAGAGAAGGATTTTCCCACCTCAACATGAATGATATCATCATTCACATAGACGTACAAGTGTAGAGAACAAGTAGTAGCAGTAAGAGTAAAATAACATCTGTATGAAATGAAGAGTAGAGCTGTTCATTCATGCTGATTCAACGTAAGTAATTAGGAATGAATGGTAACAGAATTGTATCCAAAACAATAGATGTATGAGTTGAGGCTCATGGCTAAATTCTTTGTTCTATTTTTTGCCATTAATTGTTAGTTGAAACGTGTTGGAATTTTTCTTTTATTTCCGATTAAAGCAACTTTTGAATCTATCATCAATTGTTGTTGATTTAATTGTTTCCTCCATATTTAATAAAGAAGTTAATTAACTTATTGTACTTGAGGAATGTCTTCCAGCAGAAATTAAATAAAATTGTATTTTTTTTAAGATTAATTAATATTTAATTATTCATTTTTTTTAAAGTAACAGTCAGCAAGTCTGAAATGACTGGCTGAACTCTTATCAATCATGTCTTTGAATTTATTACAGAGCTAAAAAGTAAATATATGGTGAACTATTTGCAAATGTTTTCATTTGTAAAGCATTACATAAGGAACACAAATAGATTAACAAGGACAATAAAATATACAATGATGACCAGTTGTCCTGTCTCTTATTTTAAGAGAAGTCTGTAAAAGGTTATTATTTCATTATAATCTGCAATTATTTCAGATTAACAAATTTGGTTTCTCTTTGGAAAAGAGATGACTATATTTATTTGAATCTTGACTCAATTGCTTTATTTTGCTCAATACAGAAAAATTTCTAAACTTTATAATGAAAAACAAAAAATAAGCTCATTCCAATGGTAACAAAAAAAAATATAGACAAACTTTCACAAAAAATGTTTGTTTAGTTACAATTACATGTTGACAGACTGAAAATATTGTTTAAGTGTTTATGTCCTTTATGCATCATAAGACTGACTGCATTAGTGGCAGGAAACAATAGACTTTCAAATCTTTCAAGTAGTTAATAAATAATGGAAGAATGGTTTTGAAAAATTACTTAACCTCAGCAACCAATGATAAAGACACAATTGAACAAATGGCATTGATATGAAAATGTTTTTTTGTTTTTGTGATTCAACAAATTTGAAATGTGTCAAGCAGAAACAGATTTCAAAAATCAGAGAAAAGAGAAAGCAGGACTTACAGCTAAGTACAAGAATATTGAATTCTCCATTTTTCAATTTGACATCACCATAGGTGACGGTGGCCTGAAAACTGCCTTCCTTTTCCATTCGTATGTGCATTGTTAAACGTCTGGAGGCAGGGTCATAGAAGATTTGGGTGGCAGGAACATGTCTGGCATTGCTACCTGTCTGTAAATAGAGAAAAGGAAGTAAAAATGACGGAAACATTTAAAGAACTTAAAAATGAAATAATCATTCAGTATTTAAACTTTTGCTTCATTCAAAATGGAAAATTCCTTAAAAACAATCATATCAAATCGTTGCAATTCAATAATTTAGATATTATGATGAAAATTGAGAAATGGTATTTCAATTTGAGAAACAGAAAAAAATCATAATTCTTCTTTCTTTTCCTACCAATCTCTTTGCCTCATTAATAAAATAATAATAAACTTGGATTTTCAAGGTTTTATTTTTGTTTTATATATATATATATATATATATATATAAGCAAATATATGGATATAGATCTGACAGTATGAAGAAAATATATGGAAAAAACAAACAAAATCCTAATATGCAATTATGCTGTTTTAATGTTAAGATGTCAACGTCATTAATAGACCATTTTAGTCATATAAAACATAATTAACATAGATCATATTCATGTTGAATTGAATATGATCTATGTTAATTATGTTTTATGAATATGTCCTGAAGATGGTCTATTAGACTGAAACGTCTGACATTGACATTATATTAACATTAAAACAGCATAATTGCATATTAGGATTTTTGTTTGTTTTTTCCGTATATTTTTCTATATATATATATATATATATATATATATATATATATATATATATATATATATCCCAATGAATTGTTATTATATAATAAGCATCGCTTGGATTGGCTATACATTTAACAATTATAATCCATAACCCTGACCTTAAAGGAATTGTACTTTTCAGTGACTACACCTTAGAAATATTATTTATATAAAGAGAATACGTCTCCTGTTTCATAAAATGCACATAGCCTATCTGCCATTGAAACATTTTAAACATCATGAAAAATCTCTTTAAATGCTCTTTTAACAAACTTAAAATTATAATATTACTCAAATGCTAATGTAATTTTTAAAAATAAGTTAAATTTCTTAAAATGAAAAACTGTAAAAACGTCTTTAGACATCCCCTCGCCAGAACCCAAGTAAAATAAACATATTTATTTAAATTTTGTAAAAATACTTTGTATATCATTGTTCAGTCTGTAAAACAGAGGCCTTAGTGATTTCATTGCAACTGATAGAACCCCATATCAGACAATTGGACAAACCTGCAGTAACCGTTTTCAACCTACTAGATGTGAATGCTGGGCTATTATGTCTGTCCTACTATAGAGATCATTAGTTCAATGCATTCTATTAACCTTTGGGAATCCCCATCAATTGCTCTGACCAGTCCATCAGTCAATGGTCAAGGAATTTGATTGACATTACTGCGAACATATTCCCATCAGTAAATTTAAGTAAATTGATAAGACAAAAAAAGAAATATCATTTCAGGTAGAATGATACAGTTTATATCAGAATTTTTCAGATGGGAAATTATCATAATTATATGTCCTTATGATTGAACTAGTATCCTCATCTTTGTTGTTATACACATAATGTCCCGGCTGTTTTAGTCTATGGGCTTCTTCATGTATCTAGTGTGCCACCTCAGAATTTTGAAATGAATTCTTTATTCAATCTATTATACTTCCTATGTTCAGGGGAGATAACTCATCAAATAATTCATCTATTGTATTATACTATTTTTTTTCTTGCTTGTCTATTTCTGCTATTGGCCCCAACCCAAGTGTTGATTTTGATTTATATTTGATTATAATTGGTTTTGATAATCATAATCCTATCTGAAATATTATGGTCATTTCAATTGTTATACTCACAAGCTTCTTCAGGTGTCTGTTGTACCTTCTCAGAAGGTTTTTAACTGAACCATGGTGTTAGAGTGTGTGCATTCTATGCTTTGTTCATAATCTCCAGTTTATTCACCTTTTTATCACTTGCTCATTTGTTCCATGAAACCAGTGTACATGATTTTTTTCTATACTATACAAAGCAGGGGTTAAACTAAGATGAACTATAGATGTTTTTAACCAACACTTTAATCCACTAGTCATTTACTCTGGCTCAGTGGTTCAACTAAAATGAATGTAAAGGCACTTTAGAAAGATTCTTTATGAAAAAGCTAAAGGATAAAATTGAGCAATCAAAAAAGAATGACAGAATATCAGTGTTTATTTAGCAAAAGTCAAGAAAAAAGATTTGAAAATTAAAATGAAAGCAAAACCAAATAGAATCTTTCAAGAAATTTAGAAACCTTGACACTGAATTCTGAAATGCTCCAGCCAAGAAGTTGGCTTTTTGTTCCTTTAAAAAAAATAAAAAAAATATGTTGAGCAATATCAAATGAAGAGGGAACTCTATGATAACCTACAGGGCTTTCAAACTAGATAAAGGTATATTTTATGAAGTGAGTGAATATTTTTACAAAAAAATATTGGCTGTAAACATTTTGACATCTATCAGATATGAGAGTCATAGAATAGATTGAAATTGGAAATGGGAGGTTAAAGAAATTGTAAATCAGATGTTTAATTCAAAGACACAAAACATGTTTATAAGGAACTTCAACACCATTATATTCTTGTTCATGCTACTAAATTCAGCATGAGAACATCCATGAGCAAACTTAATTTAAACTCCATTGACTATTATCATCTAAAATGTTAAATACCGATTTAAAAATTTTGCTTATATAAAAAAAACCTAAAATGTATGTGAAAATCCAGCTTGAAATATCACAACCAATCATAAAATTTGTTCTTAAAGGAATTTCCAATTTTGATAATTTCCCAAGACATATTTCCAGTATACAATGTTGAGTTCAGAAAGATTCTTTCATGTTTTATTTATTGTAAATGACATGAAAATTAAATTGAAAAAGAATCAATGAATTGAATTTTATAAAATGAGGATTTTAAAGAAATCAGATTAATTAAAAAAAAATTTCTCAAAACGAAATGGAATTTTCTAATTTTCCATTTTTTTTTAATCAATTTTCCTGGGAAAAGAATGTTGTGTCTCCTATCATAATAAATTGCTGAAGACCTAATGGATTCATAATGCTAATAAATTTACTTGCTACGAACACCTCTGTAAAGAGCAATCCTTAACAGATTAGTATAGCAGACCCTTACTATAGTAAGTTCAGTCTTCCCTGGGTAACTCACACTTTTGACCTTGTTAATTTTAATAAATATCAATAAAGTGAATTGGCATTGTAGATCGGATGTTTAATTTAAAGACATGAGAAACTATCGTGAGGAATTTCAAGGTGAAGACCAAAGTTTATAAAAAGATTCAAATCTTTGAATGACTGAAAATTCCATGTCTTACTTTAATTTTTACAGATTAATGTTACAGAGCAAAGAAGAGTTGAGGAATTAGTTTTATCTCTAAGAATGTAGATTAAAATTCTTTTCAAAATTTGGTTTTAGACAAACAAAATATTTCCTTCCTAAACTAAATGCTATACTTGTAAAATATCTGATAATCAAATACTGATAATATATACATGTTTATCCTTCATCTTATGGTACCATATTAAAGTATGAGGAAATGGTAGCATTTGTAAATTCCTGCTGGGAAATAGCGATTGACAAAGTTTTGAATTCAGTGAAAAGAACCTCTCGTCTTTTCATCTTAAAAACATTTCTTTAGCAAGATAAAAAAAAAACCAGTTTCAAAGACATGTCACAGTGTTGGTTGGTCTATGGTAAAGGGCAACAGAAGAGAAAGATTTATAAAGTTTCCAAAGATGATAATAAGAGAGTCAAATTCTTGAGGCAAGAGTGAGATCCTGAATAGCAAAAGTATTCATTGTTTGTTCTCTTTAGAAACGTCTGTGATGATTTTGTCAAATGATGATGTAAGATTACAGAGAAAAAGAATGTTCAGTTAGTATAATAAAGTTGTCTTCTTATGCAAGAATAATCAACAAGAGCATATAATAAATAGGGTAGAGAACACACATACACACACACATATGGAGGGCAGGATCTTATAAGAATGGTATATGTATATAAGAACAGTAGGTGTTTCTCCTGAGGAAATGTAGACAAGATTGTATGTTTGTAGGCAGGCAGCCTGGCTTTCTTGCTTATCAGTCCCTTTGGAATTAGAAAACTACCAGAATGCAAATATTCTAAGTTAAAGCAAAATATAAGAAAGTTTCAAAGACAGCTATTTTTTTTCTTTTTAAAGAAAAATAACTTTTTCTCCATACAAATAAATAAATGTATGTGTGTGCATTTCTAGCCTGAAAAAATTCTTAAAAATGATAACCATCTCATTATTGGGCACCTTGCAATGTTGTAATGGCTAACAAGTTGGCCTACTAGACCATTAATACAGATTTTGATCATCCCTTGATGTCACAGACATGTGGCTTGATGGCATACTAAGTTTAGTTTGGTAAACTGTACCATTATTGTGAAGAAAAGAAAAATAATAGAGGTCAGTTTTCTATTACAAAATGGTAAAAGTGAGAATAACCGTTTCCATACAGGAAATATTTGGTATTCATTAACTGAATAGGCAGTGTGACAACCAGTTGGAATTTATAAAAACTTTTTTCTTAAAATGATTTTTCAGGAAATTAAACTTTTCAAATTCATTAACTTATAGCTCTTTCTAGAATGGATGTAAGGTTCTATTCAAACCTTCCAAACCAAATAGTCAGCCTTGCATTGAAACTTTGAGCAACTATACAAATTAGCATCTCTTAATTATTGTTGTAATTAAAATCTATAGCATGACCAAATTAGAAATGTAATGTTTTGGAAGACAGTAAACAATATTGTGAAAATATATAGTAGATTTTTGTTTAAATTTCAAAATCAAAAAAATGCATTACCATTGGTTGAAATGGGTTCAAGAATTGTCACTTAAAATATAGCCTTTATATAACGGTTATAAAAGAGAAAAAATGAATTGCTTTGTGTCATACCATATCTTAAAAATGGTGATGACTGTAATTTAGTATTATCTCTTAGGGGAGCTGAACATGGTTTATGGATGTTCTTATTGACTAAATGAGAATTTTATATAAACCTTA